AACCGACTGGAGTGTGTTCTTTAGCTCAGTCAGTTAAGTGGGTTTTAGGACCGTTACTCGAATTAAGGGAATTACGGCCACCATGTTCTTCTGGCTCTAGCCTCTCAGTGGATGCAGGACTCCCTTCCAGTGCTTTCTAAGAGATGGCGCCGGGTCGAGCCCTTGCAGCAAACAAGAGTCCTCACTGCTCGGCGAGGCTGCCCACCGCTCCGCTACGTGGTCAACACGGAGGTTCTTCCCGACTTACAGGCGGCCGCCACCTTCGCCTGCGCCCACAGTCCCACTCTGCACCACCGCGAGCACAAGCCCATGGCTGTTCCGGGTCACAAACCATCCCTGCCAAGCGAAGCAAACACAGCCGCGCTGCTTCCGGCTGTGGGCTCCGCACCCCCAGTTACCCTGGCATTCAGTCCCAGCATCTCTTCAGTTGGCCCCGCAAATGTTCTTTTGAAAACACAGTACCTAGAGTAGACGTTACATCCTGAATGGGGTCCAGCAAGCGCGGGGACAGACCAATTCTGGCCTGCCTGGCCACCCCACTCCTCCCAGTGCTGGGGCCCCAGGGGGTTCACTCTATCAGCGGTTGGGTCAGGTCTGGCTAGAGCTGGGCAGCCCTCTGTCATCGCTCACGACGCTCCCCACCTGCTGCTGCCAGTTGAACCAAGGAACCAAGCCCGACGTCCCCACTGAACTCCGTTCCTTCCTCTGTCTTAACAAAAGCCTCCACCAAAGCCAAGTGCTCACAGCCGGGACACACGACCAGTGCCTCCTTCCAACCGCATGGTTCAAACCATCCTTACACCTCCAGTCAGGTGTCCCTTCAGAGTCTTGTGGGTGCTTTCAAAGCGAGCTCACCATGTCATTTAGTTTGGAAGGACCCGCACACAAACGTCTGCACCACAGCTCAGTGAAATGTCCCGCTCTCCCGGGACGCGAGTAAGTCTTGCTGGCCCTGTGACTAGCCTGGCCGCGGGGAGGGAGCACGGCTGCTTTTAGGAACCACGCCCGCGCTGTGGGCCATCTGCGCTTTACCTTGCTAGCATGATGTTGGAATTTGGGTTGCTGGTGGCTGGCCCGGTGGGACTCCACTTTATGGTGTAGATCTCTTTGCTGTGAGCCTGAAGGTCATGGACACACGTGTCCTGCTTCATACTCCAGATCTAGAGAACAGAGGGGCAGCAATGTGAGCAGATGCCCTTTCTCCAGCCAGCAGTGGTTCCAGAGCACTCGTTCCGTGAGCTCTGGGGAAGCTCGCCGCCCAGCGGGGAGGGGAGTGCGGCCGGCCCATCCGCAGGTCACCCGCCAGGGAGGGGGAGCGGCATGCCAGGGTGCACCCGTGAGAAAGGCCACGGGCAAGGAAGGAGTCTCTGCAGGACCCTCAACGGATCAACGGGACGTAGCTGCAGGACAGCGACAGCGAGTCAGAAATGGGGGGAGAGGGCTAATCAGTGGAGGAGCGGTGACTGGGCCCCCGGGGTTGTGCACCGCACGGCCTGTCCTCCCATCACTACCTTTAACGTCATGTCATCAGAGCAGGATGCTAGCAGCATTCCAGAAGGATCCCATTTGATGGCATTGACCTCATTCTGAAAGAGAGCAAAGGGTTTTCAGGAGAAAGGCTGTGAGCAGATCCCACAACCTTCCAGCAGGGGGCAGCAGTGCCTCGTCGAGGCTGGACCTCAAAAGGACTCCCGGAGAAACCAGGGACTTTCCGCGTTTCCCTTTATCTTCCTCTCTGACTCTGCCTTCCACGTTCAACTACAAGCACGCCATACACCATACGTAACCCGCTCATCGACGTTTCTCTAAGGATAAAAAGCCACTACTAGGCAGTCAAATGAATTTACGTAAAATTCAGGGCAGGGCAGAAAACCATGGTAATTTAAAAACTGACTTTGAAAACCCTTTTCCTGCATACTTTCTATACCACGGCTACTTCCTGTCTAAATCCATACAAGGCCCCTCTCTTTTCGTGCTGGGGGTGGGGGCGTGATGGGGGGGGGAGGTGGAAGGCAACGATTTAAGGCCTCGGATACACAGGAAGGTTTAATCTGAGTTGAAGACAGGATCGAAACGCCCAAGTGGTAACTGTTAGGAACACACCCATAAACAAGATCCCCGAGGTGGGGCAGGGGGCTGGAAATCCAGAGCAAACAGCAAGCCAGATGGTGCAATCCAGCGCAGGTAGGAAGTTCTAGAAGGCAGCTGCAAGTGTGCTGGGGGGAGGGGGGCAGAAAGGAATGAGGCTGCAAAAAGCCTTCCAGTTCCAGGGACCAGGTGACCCCGAGGCTGAATCATGCAGGACGAAGGCCAATGCCCCCCGAGGGACAGCGTTTATAAAGCAGCCTGCTTTATAAGCAGGCCAGTGGGTGAGCTAAGGGAGGCCGGAGGGCTTGGACTACAGACGGGTGTGTGCCCGTGTGCACGAGAAAGCGGATGCCGGACCCCAGGGGAACCTGGGGCCCAGGGACAGGCTCAGCCAGCGCAGGCGGCCACGGTGGCTCTGGCTGCAACCGCTGAAAGGAGACCCTACGGGCAGATCTCTCAGGGCCCAGGAGTGCGGAGCTGGGCCCCCACCCCCGACTGTCCTCAGCTAACCCGAGGGTGCAGCCAGCTCCTTCCCCACAGTGCAGTTTGCTCTCCCCGATTCTGCAACCCAAGTCACAATTCCCAGGAGGCATCCAGGGATGGCTCACAGGGTCTCGGGAAGAAAAGAGGCTCAGCTACATTTAGCTTGTGTCTCGTGCAGGACGACGAGCAGCGAGAAGACCCATTTAAAAATGTGCGATGGTGATCAAGTCGCCAGTGGGACAGATGGAAGTCTGGGGAAGAGTGTAGGGTTAGGGGAGAGAGGAAGAAACGGGAAAAATAAAAGAGGGGGGTTGGTTTAGAGACACAAGGAGATGGTAACAGGAGAGCTGGTGCCTGGGCTTTCAGAAGCAGGGGCCCGGAGGGCCACAGGAAAAGGGGACTCCCGTGGCAGTGAGCTGGTGCTGAGACAACAGTGTCCGTCAGTCGGGCAGGTGTCCCAGGAGGGCTGCGGGGGGAGGGGGTTTGGAGCCTGCAGGGATCTGGTCTGGAAAAGCGACCAGGAGCCTCATGAGCCCCACACCAAGGAATCGGATGAGAAGTCAACTGGCCTCTGAGCTTCTTGGATTACATGTTGCTATTTTCCCCCCAATTTAGGAGAATGTGGCCATTAATGCCTCATACGATTTTTGTGTTCTTTTTTCTCTCTCCATTACACATACTGGCTGGAGGGCTTCGTACGGCCCATCGGTCATTAAGCCTCTCCGAGAAAGACTGTTCAAGCTTTTATGCATTCTTTAATCGGCTCATTTCTGGGATCTCGCTTCAGGTTCCCTGGCCTTCCTGCAGTCTCCCACCTGCTGCTGAACCCCCAGCCCCCCCTTGAAAACTGTCGTATCAGACAGTATAGCCCTCGGGTCTCAGATTTCCGAAACTGGACTTTTGTTTTTAAGAATATAGTTTTCCTTTCTCTGCCAACGTTCCCCATCTTTTTGCTCATTGTAAGCATCCTTTCCTATATGCGCCTGTAGATTTTCCTAACAGCTACGTTAAAAAGGCTTTCCTGCGGAATCGAACTCTGACTCCTGAGGGCCAGGGTCAGTCTTGGCGTCACTGCCTGCCCTCAGGTGGGTTAATCCAGCCACCAGCGACGCCGCAGGCACCTTCTGGGGAACCAGGGGCCCATCATCGGAAGTCACACTTACTGTGTGTCCCTGGAAGGTTTTGACCGGGCGGTCACAGCCGAGTCTGCAGACGTGAATACACATGTCGGTGCTGCAGGAGGCGAAGGCAGTGTTGTTCTGCCAATCCACGTCGAGGGCGGGCGCTGCAGGGAAGGGGGGCGGAGACACCGCGGCATTTACTACTGGTGCGCGCGCTCAGCCGACTTAAAAACAACTAGAAGCAGAGTCCAGAGCCTTCTCTAGTAACACACTAAAAGAACGTGCCCAGTGTGAACACAGCCTCTTCCGCTCAGAGTCCATAAAGACCTGTCCGTGCACATCTGGGATGCTGAGCAGACGCTCTGGAGAGACCCCCGTGACGGCTGCCATGCCCTGTGGCATCTCCGGACCCCCCGACGCGGGGACAGGGGTTCGTGAGAACGTGCACTGCCCCCTCTTACACCTTACTGCTTCCAGAAATATCCCTGTGGCGGGCTGATTTGATGTGTTTTAGATGGGAACAAGAGACAAGATGAAAAAGATTTCATATCCGATAGTCAAATATCTTGATTTTAAAAAGTCTCCTGCAACACATTAATGCAGCCCATCAGCTGGAGGGGACTTACCCTTTGGGGACACGACTGGGCTTAGGGCTCAGGACATATGATGAGCACCCTTTCTGACTCGTGGGCCTTTCCCAGGCCCTCTGCTGAGGGTTTGGGGGAGGGTGATGGACTTCTCTGCCTCCCAGCGCTCCCCCCTTCCCCAGACCGCCCGTCAGACTACGCAGCATCCTTGCTCTGACACAGAAGGAAGAGTTAGGTTCCTGCAAGCCTCTCGTCACAGGTTTCATCGACTGATCAGTACCCTAACCGTGTCTCGTGTGTTTCTTTTAAAGGCAAGTCAGCACTGAATCGGGAGAAGAATCCAGATTCCTCAGGATGTGCTGGCGATCAGATGGCCCCTCCGATCTTCCACAGGTAGGTAACTGCAGGGTAGGTCCCATTCGCTTCCTCGTCCCGCTCCCTCCCCGGGTGCACTTGGCAGGTGGGCGCATTTGGTGGAGAGCGAGCCCAGGCTTGTTCAGAAGCCGAGAGCATCTCTTTCTGTTCCGTCCCCAGCACTGTGTTTTCACAGTAGCCCCACGGTTCCCGGCCCACCTCCCGCCTGGGCACAGCGGAAGGCAGGCGCGGATCGCGCTTGGCCAGGGGATGAGCCCGTGGGCCGGCGCGCTACGACTGCAGCTGCTGTCGCCGACGACACCGTGCCGGCCAAGTCCTCAATTCCTGGCCACCCTCTGCATTCAGGGCATGCGGTCCGTACACTTGCAAACGGGACCATGTGGGGGGCAGCTCCGGGGACAGTGTCTAGCACCTGGTCGTAAAAATTAACATCCGCTGACCCTCGCCATCCAGACAGGGGGACCCTCTGTACTTGGGTGGCTGACCCCCTGTGAGTGGGCCCCTGCCACCAGGAGCCCCGGAGCCCCCAGGATGATCTCACCATTCGGTGTGGGTAAGCGACGGGAGGCAGGGCGTAGCGATTCGGGGTCCACATGCGCTCCCTGCCCACACGTGGGCCAGTGAGGTTCAGCAGTCAGCAGCACTCCAGGCACAGCCTGGCTTTGTGTTTTTGTCTTGTTTTTAAGTTTAATTTTGCAATGTTACTGTTGATCCAGGCTCCCCCAGTAGTTGCATTCTGCGGCTCTACGGGACGGAGGCAAGAGCAGAAGGCTGACGCTGGTACAGTGTGTGTGTCGGGGGGGAGCTGGGCCACTTCTGAGCGGCTCTGAGCTCAGCTCTGAGCGGCCACGTGCACAGGCAGATCCACAACTGTGCCACGGTCACCGAGCATCCCCTCGTGCCACCTTATACTCACACCAAGGCCTCCCTGCACCATCCCTACGGTCTGGCTCCACTCACGCGTTCTCCAGTTCCAACAGTTCTTCATCTCAAGGTTATATGTAACGGAGTCATGCAGCAGGCGACCTTTGGAGACTGGTCCGATGGAGACCCCTTGAGATCTATCAGGCTGTTCCGTGTTACCAACAGTCTGTTGACGACATGCTCCTTATTGCTGAGTGGTAGTCCACGGTCAGCCTCCGAGGAAACGCTTCCTGCTGATGGTGACAGACCGTGGCCCTAACGGGTGTTCGTGGGAAAAACCTAACGAGCCAAAGCAATTTCTCAGACCAACCCATCAACTCGAGGAGTTTCTGAATGCTGACAAACGGTCCTCCTTATAAGCTCTATCTGTGTTTTGCTCCGAAAAAGAGCACACTTCCTTTTCTTTCAAGTTACCATCTTGAACAGTTTCTAGTACTCTCCTTCACGCTAAAGAAAAAAAAAATAGAGCAAACGACACCTGGATCTTACTGAACCAGCGATGGGGACCTATACACCATTATGGTGAGAATTATGGGTGAGAATATGTAAGAAACACATGGGTGGTGTTCTTGGCCAGTGGGACAGAGAGCCCTTCCATGAAGTCTTAGAAATGCTTTGGGAAATATTACATTCTGCTGAAAAACTTTATAAATGAATTTTTTTTTTTTTTTAGATTTATTATTTTTGGGGGGACGGCGGAGGCCGAGGGAGAGAGGGAATGCCCTGGCAGACTCCGCACTGAATGCAGAGCCCGACACAGGACTCGATCTCACGACCCTGAGAGATCAGGACCTGAGCCACAATCTAGAGTTGGACGCTTCACCAACAGCACCACCCAGGCGCCCCATAAATAAAAGTGTCATGGGAATCTTACTGATGTTTATCGTGGGCATATTTTTTCTCTGAAAAGTAGAATCCAGAGCTCTGTTTCAGATATTCCCTCCAACCACACGGGTGAGCACACCTGCTCTTCTTGAGCTCCGAATCCGTTATGGTATCATCCCCGACAACAAAGGTCGGGACACTTCGGTCATTTATGCCAACAATGCGAGACCACCAGGAAGGACCCAGTCACTTGCTACTTGCCACGCGATGCTGTCTGGAGCAGAGTCGTAATCTGGCAACACGCTCAGATCCACGTAGACTGGCTTGCCAGACGCTGGGCTTGTAAGGAGCAGGACTTCTTAAAGAGAAGGGATTTCCTTTTGGGGTGGTGGAAACGTTCTGGAACTAGACCGTGGTAACGGCTGTCCACCACGTGAACATGTAGTTTCCACTAACGGTACGTATCGTGTGACCTACACACCCTCCCCTGCCCCACACCACAGAGGTCGGAAGTCCAAGCCACCTGCGTGTGGAGCGCTACCTACTTCCCGGTGAGAACATACGTTCTGGAATATGTTCCCCCACTTCCACATCATCAGTGGTGTCAGATTAAAGCAACACTAGGAGCGAAATTCACCGGCACCCCAAGGGGTGTATCCGGTGTGGACCCCACCCCAAGCTACAAGGACACACGGGAGAGATGTGCTATGTTTGCAAAGTACCAGGGTACCAGCTACACCACCAGGGTCCCCCCGATCAGGAGGAAGCACAGCTGAAGGACCGTGTGGAGCTGGTGTCCGGGCATCGGAACCCAGTCCTGCCTCACGGAATCTTTGGCTGCGTCGGCTCGCTGGACGACCCATGTCCCCTGCTCGGAGGCCCTCCCTGGGCACGGAGATCGGCTGTGCTGCCAGGGGGAGCCCATGGGGCCAGCGCGTGGATGCAGACCATCACCATGCACCCCAAACTCCCCGTCAGGGTGCCCTCAGAGAATAGTAAACACGCCCTCCACACGTTTAGATTCCCTCAAAATGGAAGAGACATTTCCTGTTGAGGGAGGGAGCATCCACTCCCTTCTGTCAGGTCTGAGCCAATCTTTATCCCAGTCCATTCCTTCTGGGAGGTGGTCGTCTGTCCTTAAGAGGCCACATCTAACAACAAGACTGAGCTACACAGAGCGTGAAGTGGCAGGTGGGATTCTGGGTAACTGGAACTCTCTAGAACCCTGGCTGCCCCATGTAACCTGCTAGGACCCCAACACACAAAGGGACAGGGTGAGGTCCACAGCGGTGGCTACACATGTCTGTGGGGCAGACGGACCCCCACAGGCCTGACGCTGCTCTCCGTAGGAGTGCCCACGGGCAAGGCTGGTCCTTGGCCCGAGACTGGGAACTTGGACATCCAGAGGTTTCCCACCACTGCCTAACGGACAATAATGGTGTCCTGTGCCTAAACTGTGCAAACAGTGGGGTGTGTACTGAACCCGTTTTCCTTCTGGGAGTCCGGAATTGGGGCACACGCGAAGCAGGGGTGCCTACGGGACCAGCCCCCAATTACAAACCTCAGGCCCTGAGTCCTAATCAGTTTTCCTGGTAGCTGACCCTTCCCATGTGTTGTCATAACTCGTTTCTGGGGGCATCAGACGTGGACTGATTCCGCTCGGAGAGGACCCTCGGAAGCCCTGGACGTCCCCCCACGTGCCCCTGCCTGCGGGTTCTGCTCTGTGTCCTTCCGCAGTGATGCCTCTCAGCCCCGAGGACAGCTATCCGCTGAGTCCAGGAGTCCTCCCAGGGAGCGTCCAGACCCAGGCGTGGTTGCAGGGCACCCCAACGCAGCAGCCCCCTTGAGACAGCAGGAAGAAGGCGCCCACGCTGCTTCTGTGCTTGGTTCACTGCTGTGTTTAACTTCTGAGCAGGCAGCTGTTGAGGGCAGGTGTATCTTGCAAAGCTTAAGAACAAGGCTTCCGGGGCGCCTGGGTGGCTCAGTCGGTTAAGCATCTTGCCTTCAGCTCAGGTCATGATCCTGGAGTCCCTGGATCGAGTCCCGCATCGGGCTCCCTGCTCGGCGAGGAGTCTGCTTCTCCCTCTGACCTTCCTCCTTCTCATGCTCTCTGTCTCTCATTCTCTCTCTCAAATAAATAAATAAAATCTTAAAAAAAAAAAAAAAGAACAAGGCTTCCCATGAAATGCATTTCCTTCCTACCAGCTACATTCCACGGACTCCTTCCTGCAAGTTTTCACGATTACTTTAAGGGACATTTCCTAGGGCTATGAACTCCTATTTGGAATTATTAAAACAACAACAACAACACAAAAACTCACCGGAATGAAACGGAAACTGTTGTTTGGCTTCTCCTGTGTGAGCATCCCAAATTATTGTTGTCTATGCTCCGCAAACAAAAAGAAAAAGTTAGTAACTATTCTTCATGGAAAGATTTCTCTGAAAAATTTAACATACAAGAAAAGACCGTGAACCCCCCCTTCCTTCTAAACTAGCACTGTCCAAAAGAGATACAATGTGAGCCACAAAAGTCATTTTTAATTTTCTCATAACTACATTAAAAAAAAAAAAAAAGGCGTCTGCGTGGCTCAGTTGGTTGAGTGTTCACTCTTACTTTTGGCTCATTTCGTGATCTCGGGGTCCTGGGATCGAGCCCCAAGCTCTGTGCTCAGTAGGGAGTCTGCTTGAGGATTCTCTCTCCACCCTCCCTCTGCCCCTCCCCTTGCACACAAGCTCGTTCCCTGTCTCAAATAAATCTTAAAAAAAAAAAAGGAAAAAGAAATCGGTAAAATTAATTTCAACAATATATTTTAGCTCACTCCAATGTGGCCAAAATACTGTTTCAACATAGAATCGATACGTAAACATTAATGAGATATCTGGCATCCTGTGTTTCATCTAGATTTTTGGGACCCAGTGTGGGTTCTATGCTCAGCGGTCTGATGGCTGCATTTTGTGAACTAACAGCCACACGCGCTGGTGGCTATTCCATGGAACACTACCGGGAAAAGTGCCCTGATGGGTGGGGATCCCCCTTCCTCCCCAACACGGACACCTGCTGAAAAACCTGCCACGAGGCACCTCGACACAGCTTTCTAGCACTTCGCCAAATGCAGAGCTCGAGAAGCTGGCATTTCTGACCCCGGCCCTGACCATCACCCCCCGCGGCGCGGACACCAGATCCAGCAAAAAGCAGTGTGTCACACTGGGCCCGGGCATGAGTCACTGCCCTACAAATACGGAGAAAAATGATCTCCACCTTGCAAAGCAAAGTAAATCCTGAATCCTTAGGAACTTAAGGGAAGACAGGGAAGCAACCAGATGCAGCTCACTGACACCACGGGGACTGTGTTTTTTGTTTTTTAAAGATTTTATTTGAGAGAGAGGGAGAAGCAGGTTCCCCGCTGAGCAGGGAGCCTGACATGGGGCTCGATCCCAGGACCCTGGGACCATGACCTGAGCTGAAGGCAGATGCTTAACTGACTGAGCCACCCAGGCGCCGCATGGGAATTAAGTCTTAATCAACTGGAATTTCTACCTTAACTGGAACTTTTCCACCTCCCTGTGCATAGCACTTAAGATTCTGCTTTAAGAACTGCTTATATTTTGTATCAACTGCAGAAAATTGCAGATGAAATCCTCAGAGCACCAAATATCTTTGAAACTCAGTTCTCTAAGTTTGGGCTCAGCTCTAGACCAATGAACTTTTTTTGTTGTTTTTTTTAAGATTTTTAAGTCATCTCGGGCGCCTGGGTGGCTCAGTCGGTTAAGCGTCTGCCTTCGGCTCAGGTCATGATCCCAGGGTCCTGGGATCGAGTCCCACATTGGGCTCCCTGCTCCGCGGGAGCCTGCTTCTCCCTCTGCCTCTCTCTCTCTCTCTCTGTCTCTCATGAATAAATAAATAAAATCTTTAAAAATAAAAAAAAAAGATTTTAAGTCACCTCTACACCCATCGTGGGGCTCGAGCTCACAACCCTGAGGATCAAGAGTCGCGTGCTCCACTGACTGAGCCAGCCGGGTGCCCCTAGACCAATTAACTTTGTCATTTGGTGGATCCTAACTCTTTTCGTCACGTAGCCACTCCCAAATGTGGCAACGCAAAGACTACGTGAACTCTTTCAGTACTTCTCTCTGACACAACGCCACACACCACAGCAGTAATCCTATCAGCTAGTGGGTGCTTCCGCTAAGTATACAAGGGACGAAACAACTCGTTAACTACACAAAGGCTTTTTAAGACTGTGATGTATCCTGCTGTCACTACTTCCAGGTTAAGCATGCAGTGAAGGTCAACACCAGCATCCCCGTCCGTGACCCTTCCTCCCTGGGTATCACTTTCGAGAACATTCTCACTATTCCTGCCGTGGTTGATGAACAACAGCAGAGCATGTAGGAGCCAAAGACAAGTGAATTCCAAATGTGCATTTTCCGTGGCCGTCTGGCTCATCACCCGGTAGAGTCACGACGGAGAGGAAGGTGGAACACCAAAAATGGAATATAAAAATGAGCCCCCGCGCAGGAGGCAGGTGAGGCTGCAAAGAACTTTTCGGAAGTGTGTGGAGGTCAAAGGGCAGAAGTTACTGGCAATCCGGGCCCTGCACCCTGGACCCCGGTGTCCCTAGGCAAGTGAGTGCACGTGCCTGTGAAACGGGGCTGTTGGCAGCAGCTCCCACCTCCTCTCTCGGGAGCCCTGAAGAGGCCAACGTGTACGGTAAAGTGCGTGGTTAAGGGTCAGCGATCATTTGCACAAATATTTTAATAATGCAGTCAGCAGTACGGATGAGCAGCCACGGACCCAACAACGTTGTGTGTGTGTGTGTGTGCGTGCGCGTGTGCGTGTTTCAACATTAGATGTTAGGCTACCGGGTTGGAAAGAAAGGTTTACTGGCTTGGGAGAGCGAGCGCGGCGGCCCTCTTCACTGACCTCGAGGGCCACCCTCTGGTGCGGGGTCGGCACACATTGTCGCCGGCCGGAGAGTAAATACCTTAGCCCACGCCCGTGACAGTGTTGACAGGTGCTGGTTATTACTGTTCATTCACTGCAGAACTCGAATGGATACCCAGCAGTCATGTAACCAGGTTTTCAAATGATCCTGACGTCAGTATGAAAACGTAAAGCCCTTCGGAAACCGCCCGACAGTCTAGTCCTCAGACCCAGTCGACAGTTGTAGAAACACAAACCACTTCTGCTCCCCTTCGGCTTCATTTCTCGAGAATACTTCTTTTCCAAAGCAAGGAGTTCCAACTCCTGCTGAGTCTCAGGAATGACGTAAGCATTCCTTCCACGTTCTTTGGGGGTCCTGATGCCTGGCTCTTGGCAACCGAGGAAGCAGACCCAGAGAGAGTGGGCCACGCTCAGGGCCACATGATGCCTGCACCTGCTGACTCCTTGCCCACCCACGGCTTCTAGAGGCCCTTGGCTGCTCGCGGCCACTCGGACCTGGCCCCGTCACATTCACCTGGCAGCCCTGTCCAGGCACAACGCGTGTGCCAAGCGTGCCCCGTGGCCCGCCAGGGATGTGCCCCCTCGTGGGCGGGCCCACTTTCCTCCGGCTCTCAGAGAAGCCTGCAGCCCACGACGGGAAGTCACAATTCACTGCATTAGGGAAAAAGAAGCCTGGCGAGAGAAAACGGTTTGTGTTTCCAAAACTGCTCAGTGGGGGAAAGGTTTCTGTCCCGTGCATCCCACGCCACTTTGCTTTTCAAGCATTGGATACATGCAACTGGGGGATTTCCTCTTTCCATCGCTGAATGACGTACCTCAAAAAAAGGGAGGGGGAGAGGCTCTGCACAAAGGTCTGTGGAACAGTATAATACGTTGAGAGAGTATGTGTTATATGTGAACAGTAAGACCAAAACCACAAAAACAAAACCTAGAGCAGCTCTTCTGCGTTGTTAAGGAAAGCCTCAGAATTAAACACAAAAACATAAAAACCCAGGATGTTACCCAGAAATTCAAAGTAAGTCAGCATCTACAGATCAAAGAGACATTTGTTTTTTGAGACCTATTTTAAGCGGATACTCACTTTGTCTACACCAGCACTCAAAATGTAATTCCCCTTTTTGTTCCATTTCAAGGCAAAGATGGGGCCTTTATGCTGCCCTAAGGTGCTGGCCAGGTTGCCTGTCAGGTAAAGAAAGAACAAACCGGCTGACTTCAAGGCCACGGTCGGCTCCCCGCCAATCGTGTCGCGAGGCGCACGCGGGCGGGCCCGGCTCACCGTCTTCGGTCCATATTCGGGCGAAGCCGTCGTAGGAACCCGTCGCCAACAGCGTCCCGTCGCTCTGCGGGCCAGAAACACACACACACGCCAACAGCTCGGTGCGAGCCAAGACGGCGCCTCGCCGGACCCCGGGGCTCAGGCAGCCTCGGCTCCCAGTCAAGACCCTAACGGAGCCCCCGGGACCACGGGAGGCCCCACTGCTCTGAACTGGCGACCTACGGTGTTCTGCCGTGACACGGGGCGGACAGGGAAAACGCACTGCACCCCGTCACCCCGCCGACGTCCCGCACCATGCCATCCGAAACGTCACAGGGACACTTGGAGACATTGACCGTGGCTGTTAAAAATGCGCTCGCACACAGAGAGCAGTCTGTGAGGCAGGCAAACGCCAAAGGAGTTGGGAGGGCCTGCGTGCTTCCCACGGGTAAGTGCCTATAACAGCGCCGCCCAAGCGGCGAGCCGGACGGTCCCCTTTCCTGGCCGCCCGTCCTCTCTCTGTCTCCTCATCCGTGGAGCCACCAGGCTCATCTTGCTCAGGGACCGAATGGGAGGCCCCCGAACACCCAGCTGGCTGTCTGCCCGACACAGCCTTGCTAGGCGCTCTCGGCAATGGGAGAGCAGCCCCGGGGGGCGGCGGGGGGCTCACAGACGGCCCACTGCCCTGTGTTTGCGCCCACACAGCCCCGCCGGGGCGCCGGCCGAGTTGGAGCTGCTAACGGGTCTGCGTGGTGGCAGGTGCTTACGTTCCAGTCCAGTGAGGTCACGTCTTTATTACTCGGCACGTCATGGCCTCCTTCTCGTATACAGTGCCTCAACACGAGCTGCGTGGAGCCCCCATTGCTGTTCTCATTAAGGTTCCATATTCTTGCCGTCGAGTCTCCGGATCTGTAGAAGGAAAGCGCACGTGCATTCAGCTTCCCGTTCAAGTGCAAACAAAGCCCGTCAGCCTTTCTCGGGCTGCCTCTGTCAGCTAGCTCTGGCCTGTGGCCTCGTGTCTTCGTGATCCCGCTCACTGGCTCTGTTTCTCGCCTCACCATTTTTGTTGCTCTTAATTTTTTTTTTCAAGTAGGCTCCACACCCAACGTGGGTT